GCTGGGCATGTATTTTATGGTGATAGATTAATTAAAAGAAGTTTAACACTGTTCTGTGTATATTATTTGAATTTCTTCAATTTCAAACGAACGGCCCCTGATTTTCCTGTAATTTTTGCAGTAGTTCAAATGAATATGTACCCACATAACTGTCTTCTAATGGGATTAAAATCTGGCCGAATTTTGGCCGATATTGGAAAAAAGTTTGGCCGAATTTGGCCGTGAGATGGCGTGTGTTTGGCCGTGAAGCCTGTCGACTATCTGGCAACCCTGGTCTATACTGCCTTATGCCCACCATGGTTGGGGCTGAGGTAAGAAAAATTGTGATTATGGCACCTCTATGTGGCCAGAAATGGCACTCTCAGACTTAAATTTGAATATAATTTAATTGTTTTCCATATTTTTCATGTTTTTGTAAAATTTGGGGGGGGGTCATCTGGCCCCCTTGAATCCGCCACTGCACTTACATAAGGGATATCGAGGGTCAATATTTACAATGAATAGATATTACGCAAAAAAAAAAAAATACTGTATTAGATTATGGGTGTAAAATATGTGAATTGTTATGTGCGTTGAACGATGGGGGTTAAAGGATACCATCGTAATTTAACTAAAACGAACTTTCTATTTTTGGATCATAGGAGTATGGTTATTGTTATATTCGGTTGCTCGAGCTTTAGTCTGACCATAGAGAAATTAGTTTAGACTGTACATTTCAAAGTAAATTATATTAGATCTTTCTCTGTAGTCACGCCTAGGCCCGCAGATCAGAGAAGATGCCTTTATTAGAAACAAGAGCTCACGATGTTTGTATGGATGTATCGAGGCTCCTACTTATGCATGATGTCTGCCCGTGAGAATAGCACAATAACTCAATACATTTTAAAATTTAAACAGACGATTTCACCTCCATTGATTTCAAGCATTTATTATTACTTACTTCCTCTATTCATTTTGTAAATTTCATATTTAATATTTAGGGAAAAAATATATAGAATGAAAAATAATCAACCTTCATCGAGACTAGAATCCAGATCTTTTGTCTATACGTTTGCTTTATAACGGAGTAGATAAATTAAAGACTTGTTTTTTGGACCTACCTTAGAAGGCGTGTATACATTGGTGTATGGAGTATTGAAATGCTGTTGGGTGGGGGTTGTTGTTGTTCAATGATTCAGTGCGGAAATCTAATTGGATTGGATATATACTGTCTCTTATACACATCTAGATGTGTATAAGAGACAGTCATGGATCCGCCTCTGAATCATGTAACTTTGTTTGCACTAAACACAAGTTCAATGCAAGTTTGTACCATACTGTGTGTCTTTGTATATGTTACATTCTTGTGGAGGTTCTATCTCATTTGAATTTCTCTTGAATATAAATTAAATACTGTACTTAATTGATTTATTATTACCCACTAGAATTGTATAGCCCTAGGTGCTGCAGTGTTCTTTATGTAGAGCGCCATATATAAATGCTCGATGTGCTTATCCGGGTCCGATGGCACCTCCAATTTCAAGCAAGTGTTGCAGAGACCCTGGAGTTAGGTTGCATACTAGAATGAAGAAGATAATTCTGATAGCAACATTGATTTATTACTTTAAGTACTGCGACAATAACATTCAGAGGCGAATTTAGAAAGTTTAGATAAAAAGTATTTATTAAAGTTTTCATAGGTTTGTTTTAACGCCAGTTTGTGTTACCTAACTATGTAACTTAATTCATTCTAATCAAAGAGAGAAACGGGTTGACCAATAACAGGACCTTAAAATGTTTGCTATAGATCGACTACAATGTACGTTAATATGTAATACATTTAAATCAATTTAGATCAA